GCGAGAAGTATGTCAAATATCTTCGAGATGATGGGGTTACCATCAGAGTGGAATCCGCATGGTAGTTGGTTATATATAATTTGGAAATTAGGGATCTCTAAAATAATCCCTTCTTTAAATTATATTTGGAAAATTGCAGTTTGACCTCTTTAAATTTATGTAACTTCAAAAATTCAATTTGGTCCCTTACTATGTATTTTACATATACAAGCGATGGGGTTTTTCTTTTTGCAAAAACCTCCCCAGGGTATTTTGTCCTTTTGCAACCGGTCAATGGAAAAAGGTAAATTGGTCGAGTATACTAGGGGGTATTTTCTAATTTATTTATGACATGGAGGAATCGCACAATTGCGATTTTCACAGAAGTACTAAATGCAATTCACTCGGTTTATTGCATTGGACACCTCCGTGTCTTCTCTAATTGTTAGAAAACTCTTTGTGTTATTTTATTAGGAAGAACTCCCCATATAATTATTTTTTTGTTTAGCAAAGTACCCCTAAAAACTCACTTAAAATTTGCATTATAAGGAAATTTTTGTTAATAATTATAACACGAGGAGTTCTTTAGCGATTCGATATAACACGTGCTTACTAAATCCAATAAACTCCAATACATGTAGATCGAGTGAGCTTATACGCGCGAAAGAGAGAGAAAAAAAAACCCTGAACCTAAATTAATAAAGATGAGCGATCTTGAACCTCCTCGTACACGAGCCTATACATAAATACATACATAAGCTGAGAAATCCCTATGTATATTCCACTCTCTGTATTCACAATCTTCTTCGAGACAACTACGAATATTTCATCTACCGTCAACGACGGAGATAGTAACATTATTCACAGAGCCACTACTCCTTTGACTCTGCTGAGAAGAAGTTGCCCTCGTATTCGAACTACCGTTCGAATTCAACGCAAAAAATGCAACTTGTTTAGGTTCCGGAAGCTCTGCTATTTCGCTCTTAAGCATTGAGAGCACACTCGAAACCGAAGGCCTATCTTTAGGCAGTTCTTGCACACACAGTAATCCTATTTGTATGCATCTCACCACTTCTGTACGATAACTTCGGCTCGATATTCTTACGTCTATCGATTCTCCTACATCGTCTTCACTCCACAGTTTCCACACCTTTTTTTCCGGAGAAAATAAATAAATAAATATACGACAACAACACATATAAAATTTAAGGTAGAGACATACATACATGTCCTAAGAGATTGGCAGAGGTTTCGTGATTGTAAAAGCTCGTGTTCCTTCTTCCGCAAACAATCTCTAACATCAACACCCCGAAGCTGAAAACATCAGATTTTTCGGAAAATTTCCCTTCGATTGCATATTCGGGAGCCATATATCCGCTGCAAGCTCCAATTAAATCATAAAGTTTTATATACACCGATAAAATAATATAAAATGGATCAAATATAATAATATGTGCGATCGCTTACTATGTTCCGACAACTCTTACAGTGCTGATATGATCTTGGTTGCTTCCGAAAATTCTCGCCATCCCGAAATCGGAAATCTTCGGATTCCAATCATTATCCAGCAATATGTTACTTGGCTTGAGGTCTCGATGGATTATCTTTAATCTCGAATCTCTGTGAAGGTAAAGAAGGCCTCGACAAATGCCTTCGATGATGTTTAAACGCTTTCTCCAATCGAGGATTTCTTGCGATTTATCTGAAATAAAAAAATAATATTGCATACATAAACAGAACAAGTGATGAGTTTCCTCAAATTTGTCGAACAAGAGATAGAAATTAAAGATGTTTGAAAACCGACCGAAGAGAAAGAAATCCAAGCTTTTATTAGGCATGTATTCGTATATCAGCATCTTTTCGTTATTCTCCACACAGCAACCCAATAGTCTAACGAGATTTCTGTGTTGGAGTTTAGAAATAAGCACTACTTCGTTCATGAATTCGTCTATCCCTTGTCCCGATTCCTTAGAAAGCCTTTTTACCGCGAATTCTCTTCCGTTTGCCAGTTC